CAGTGGTTATGGACTTTGCATCTAGCAAAAAGTCCAGATATTCGTCGTTGTCAGATCGCCTTTCTGCACTATTCGCCTTTTCAGCCCGATCCTCTGTCCCGCCTGTATTTCTCGGTATGGCCGGGAAAGCATCTCTAAAGTTTCGCACCGCCTCTTGCACTCGTGCGCCGACCTCGTACTGATACTCTTCAATTTGATGGTTTGCTTTTTTGAGAGCGGCTGCTTCTAACTCATCGAGCTTTGCTCGCTGTTTCGCTATATTGGACCTTTCAACGTCTAGAAACAGCTGCTGTTCCAAATCCCAGTCCTCAAGGTCTTGAATGCTAGACCTGACTTGCGCTGCGAGGGAACGGAGTTCCGGTTGCTGTTGACTTTGCTGATCTTGCCCGAGCACTTCTGCTAAAGCTATGGCACTTTCAAGGCATTTCCGCAACCTTTCTGTTGATATGCCAGCGCGATGTATTGTGACCTCGCGTATATGCGCTGTCGACCGAAGTATTTCGCCAATCGCGGTTGTCGACTGGCAGCCTGATTTATGTGAGGCAACAAAGAGCTTAGAGGACCCAATCGCTTCCATCCAGCGATCTAGCGTTGTAGCAGCAGGGCAATCCCACCCGCGATTCTCCAGGACGTCAGGCAGATACTTTTGTGAAAAGTAGAAACAACAGTGTTCCATCGCCGTCTGCAGCTGTGTCATGAGTTCGTATTGTGCCTGAAATGGCAACTTGATTAAACAGCTGGATGCATCGTCTTGCTCTCTGTCCTTGTCCACTGCCGCTTCTAATTAGTGCAATTCTGAGCCCACTCGTCAATGCAACTCACAAGGTTGAAGGTCAGCTTTGGTTGCGCCTTTGCTTGGTGATGAACTCCGGCACTGCTGACATCGATTTACATTCTGATCCGCTGTTGGAATTGACCAACAATCTCCTGTACTTGCGGCTTCTTTCTCTTCTAAAGAGCCCCCTGTTGTTCCCCCATGAACGGCCGGAAATGCCTTGGCTTTTAGCAGCTCCATGACTACCCTGACGACCTTGTCATACCCATATTTGTGGATGACTTCTTCTGCTTGAGGCCTGTTTTTGTCAATCAGGTTTCGGATCGGCTTCCTCTTCATAGTAACACTTTGCCCGCCAAAGACGTTTGCCAGCGCAGAACGAACATCATCGCACATCAATGACTTCGTGTCGCACATCGTAGGATACTGGGATATGCTGCCTTGACTACTTTGGTAAATTGAAGTGCAGTGTCAATATAGAGATGAAGGCGGGGGTCATACGACTTTGGAAGCCTGGTTGCATATTTAGGAACGGTACGCGTTAGTCAGATGTCTCAATCCCCCGCTTTTGCTTGAGCAGACTGTATCTTCTAACGTATCGTTCTTAAGAAGTACCCTTTTGTCGTCGATAAGCCCAGATGGCCATTTTCTGCCTGTGCCCCAGCATGCCTCCCTAAGGACTTGCTAAGAGCAATCTGGTCGTTCTCGAGATAGATATTAATGTTTTCCGCGGACATTGTAGAACTATAGTTGAACGACTCTAGAGATGCCGAGGAAAATGCATGCGAAAGCAAGAATTTTCCTCAAAGTGTACCAAGCCGAGTAATTTTGAAAGGCGGTAGACCAACCTCACAAGAAGAGCGCTGATGTCTGAGCTGGCCCGCCACAGCGGCCAGTTGCCTGGGCATGCAAAGTCAAGCAGTCTGTGCCGTCCGCCCTTCGCATCCTTCTTTTACAACCGATGTTAAAAGGAAACGGAACCATGGCAATGACAGTTGCGACTTGGGGAATGTGGTTTCGATCAGAACCAGAACAATGTCACTGCATGTATTCCACTCCATCCAAACCACAACTATCGCGGATCGTACCGATCGCAGGGTCCTTCTCCGCTTGAAGAGTGGCGTTCTTCGAGAAGGGCCTACAGATTCGCCTCGCACTAAAGGACAAGCTTGCTATTGCATCCCAGGACATCCAAGACATCAAGCCAACAAATACAGGATGGGCAATTGTGGCCCGGAACGAGAAAATTCAGCAGCTTGTCCTTGAGAAGCAGAACGAATGGGGCCCATGCATCGACTATTGCAGAGAACCAAATCCCATGGCACACCTACCTGATCAAGAACTTCCCCAAGAATCTCCACTCTTGGGACCGCACCCTTCTGGACTTCGAGGAAACGATTGAAGAAGAGATCGAAGCCCAAACAGGGCAAAAACCAGAACGATGGCATGTCTCACAAAAGCCTAATAATGAGGATTCGACCAAAGCAACACTGGTCATCTCATTCTTCAAGCCGCTGAACAACAACTTCTGGCTACTCGGACAGGGAAGCTACTCCTTTAAACTTACCAAACCAAAGAAACTGTCTCAGGCGAGCATTAGGGCCACCGACCCGGTGCCTCTAATTCCCACCGCCACGGTGGGCAAAAGAGGGGCTTTCTGAAGCTGACCAATAGCGCCGCGAGCCTCCAAATTGAACCTGAGGAACACAACCACTGCCCATCAGCTATCACGACTTCAAAATGGAGCAGTTACGTCGCTGCTTTTTGCAATGCCGCATCGCGGCATTGAATCATCAACGACTCCGTCCTAAGATTGTATCATGCATAGCTACTTGTTACAGCTTCGCCTCTTCAGGGAAGCTGCTCACAAGATAAATAACTGTATTTTCGCATATGTGCCTACCCTGAATCACAACCCATCGCATATAAATCAACTCTCCCCTGTAAAAACTTTTCTGCACCTGCAGCTGTTAGCAGCTGTTAGTGTGCGGGGTTCTTCCAGGCCAAGAGACCTGCAGTTTTGATGGCGGGGCTAGCAGAGCCGAAACAGCCACAAAAAGGAAGAATTTTGGAGAGTTCATATTCCTCTTGAGCTGCGGTCTCGCCAATCGAGCTCGTCGGGCATGCCGGGCCTTGATGAGGCTACTATAATTCAACTCTCCCTTGCCCAGAGACTCGCGGTTTTGATGGCACGGCCACCGGGGCCACGACAGCCACAAAAAGGAAGAATTTTGGAGAGCGTCTATTCCTCTTGAGCTGCGGTGTCTTGCCAGCTAACCTCATCAGGTGTGGCAGGCTCGACGAGCTCGCCGCTAGGGAGATTTATCTCCTTTGCTTTATTTGGTAGCACGCTACCACTGAAAAAAGGGCTCCCGCTGGTCCCCGTACAAAGACCAGGTGACAAAAGTTGTGGACGCGACACTCCCAAGGGCCGGTCGTGTCGACATCATCGTGATCCCGCTGACGGGTATCGATACCGACAACAAACTGCCGCCAGGCGAACATCTGCTACCTAGGGGAGATTATATTGCCACAGGATGCCACGGAGCTTAAAGCATTGCACTATGGGCTTGAAGGGCTCTAGAGTTTGTTAGTTTCTTTTCCTAGCTTACGGGGGGATCAGGGTAGTATATTTCGATGAAGCTAGAATAGCACGCCTCATGCCTACACCAGGGCGCCAGTTAGGCGATACAAGAATCAAATCAAATCATCAAATCAAATCAAATCAAATTCTGATGAAGCACGAGGCAATCGGAACAACCTGTTT